TTCGAGTAATTTCCCTATAACCAGATTAGTGAGAATGCGAAATAAAAGAGGAAAAATAATACCCGAAATTGATAACGAAGTTCAGCCAATTTTACCAACGTCTCCGGACTGCTGCAGATCTTTTACTAAATAGAGAAAATTTACAGGTGTTTACAAAACACTCTCTACTCACAAGAGAACTGTCTAAACTCTTTAGTATTGATAGAAAGAAATGATTTGGGATGATTTTGAAACTAAATGAATTAGGGTATTTATCGTTGAAATTTAGAGACTAATCTTATAAATATTCTAAAATATACAGAAACTAAAATACTATTACCCCATTTTTATTTTCAATAAAATACTAATGTTGAAAATAATTTCTGCAGCCCAAAAATTTGATATTTAGCCTGCCATTCTAGAATTCCATTCTAGAATTTTGACTGACTTTTCAACATTTTACTCTTCTTCCCATTCATCCTCTTCAGCTACAGCGCGCAACTTCTCTCGTCCTTTGAAGTAACTGGAAAAACATGTGGTTCTTTTGGTTTCCTCTGATGGGTTTCGATTTGGGTACCAATTCAAGACTCCAACACCGAACATCCACCGTTTGATTGAAAACGGGGTTGAGACTGAGATGGGTTTGATTCCTGTTTTCCCTTCTCTTACTTTTCCTAATCATTACTCAATTGTTACTGGTCTTTATCCTGCTTATCACGGTATTATAAACAACCATTTTATCGATCTTAAAACTGGCGAGTTTTTTCATAGTGCTAGCCATGAACCCAAGTGGTGGTTAGGTAGCCACTTTGGGAGACTGTGGTCAATCATGGAATAAAGGTTGTTACCAATTTTTGGCCTGGAAGTGAGGTGAAAAACAACAACAACAACAACAACAAAACCCAATTCCCATATGTATGGGGTAAGGGGGAGGTAGGGTAGTAGGCTGCCCCCAACGCCAGGTTGAGAATAGCTTCCGTGAAAGACCTCCGGCAGTCAGAAAATTAAAAATATAGATAAAATGCAATGAATGTATAAATAATTACATAAATACATAGCTAAACAGTATTCATATGCAGTCATTAATATCATATGTGCTTCTGTAATGGGGAGTAATCCCTGCAAAATAATCCCTGTGAAAGAATCTCTGCATATAGACAGAACCCTAAGACCCGGCTAAATTTAACAGAAGAAACATGATGAGAATGATACACATGAGACAACGATAGCAAGCCCAGTTCTAATCTTTCATAAATACCAATAACAGAAAAGTATAAAAAGTAAAAGTCATGGAAATTACTACAAATGCATTTAAAAGAAGACAAAGATGATAAACCCTATAGATGTGACCCACACTACTCGACTACCCTAACCTCCATAATTTCCTATCACAGGTCTGTCTTCGGTAAGGCCTAAATCCATCAAATCATCTCAAGCAGTCATCCCACTTCCGCCTTGGTCGTCCTTTCCTTCTGGCACCGTCGACTGTAATCGACTACCCTCCTGACCGCATCCGACGGTAGTCGCCTAAGGACGTACCCAAACCACCGTAGTCTTCCCTCCCTCATTTTTTCGGAAACAGACACCACCCCTAAGGACATCCTAATAGCAGAGTTTGTCGTCATCCCACAGAGTCCTACCACAGTCCATCGAAGCATTCTCATTTCTGCGGCCTCTATCCTCCTTACGTGATCCTTCTTGGGTGCCCAACATTCTGATCCATACAACAGCGCTGGTCTTATTGCCATTCTATAAAATTTTCCCTTAAGTTTTAGAGGCACCTTCTTGTCACACAAAATTCCAGTAGCGGCCTCCACTTTAGCCATCCCGCCTTTATACGGTGTGTAACGTCTCATCTACACCCCCATCTTATGTATCATAGACCCTAAGTACTTGAAACAATCCTTTGAGGGAAGAACGTGTCCTTCTATGCTACTTCTACATCTTCATCATTTTGGTTCCCACTGAAGTTTGAACATAAATACTCTGTCTTTTCAATATTGATCCTTAAACCTTTTTCTTCCAAAGCAGTCTTCCAGGTAGCCAGTCTGCTATTCAACTCAGATTTTGTTTCAGCCACTAAGACAATGTCGTCAGCGAAAAAGCATACACCAAGGTACCGTCTGTGTCGCACAATGATGTCGTCCATAATCAAGGCGAAGATGTAAGGGCTAAGAGCCGACCCCTGGTGTAGTCCGATTTCCACCGGGAATGCCTCGGTGTCGCCAACTGTAGTCCTGACGTAAGTAGTAGATACAGTACATATCACGAATCGCCCGATATAAGCAGTTGGTATCCGTCTCGTTTCCAAAGTCTTCCAGATCGTATCGCGAGGAACGCTATCATAAGCTTCTCAAGGTCAATGAACGCCATGCGAAGATCTCTAGACTTTTCCCTATATTTCTCCATAAGCCGTCGAAGTAGATGAATCGCCTCCGTGGTAGACCTGTTTGGCATAAAGCCAAATTGGTTTTCCGAAACCCTAGTGACTTGTCTCAACCTAGCCTCTATCACCCTTTCCCATAGCTTCATGGTATGGCTGAGTAGTTTAATACCTCTGTAGTTACCACAACGTTGGGGATCTCCTTTATTTTTATAGATTGGTATCACCGTAGACTCTCTCCACTCCTCAGGCATCTTGGCAGTCTCTAAAATAATTAAAGATGTTGGTCAACCACTTAACTCCCTCATCTCCTAGGGCTAACCACACAGTTAGGAATTTGATCAGGACCGACCGCTTTCCTCCCATGTTTCTAAGAGCCATTTTGACTTCCTCAAACCCAATCCTACTTGTAGGGCAGTCATTGGTCGTAGTATGATGGTCGGCTGACCCAACAACGATATATCTCTATATGGAGAGGCACCATCATTAAATAAGCCAAGAAGTAAACTACCCCAAACCCTCTTAATATCCTGATCTTTCGTTAAAAGAACATGTTGTCCTTAATAAACCTAATGTTACCTAGATCCTTTTTCCTAATCCCCTAGATTTTGCAAGTCTGAAGATGCCATTTTGTCCTTCCTTAGTGTCTAATCTCTTGTACATTTCCTCATATGCCTTATCATTTGCTTTAGCTACCGTTTTCTTGGCTTCCCGCTTTGCCTCCTGGTATCTTGTTTAGCTCCCGACCTTTCTTCGTCGTTTGCATTGAAGAAACTCCTTGAAGCAAGTTTGTTTTGTCTTCACCTTAGTTTGGACTTCGTCGTTCCACACCACGATTCTTTATGTTCCTGGCCTTCCGTCGACAACCCAAGGTGTTTTTGCCCACCTCTCTGATGGAATTTGCCATATTTTCCATAACATATCTGCGTTATTTGAGTTTGTAGTTTCAAAAACCTGTATTAGACAAAAGCTTACTCCTAAAGTCATCAGTTGTTGCTCCATGTAAGTTCTTCCAGAGGATCCTAGGTTTACCCAGTTAGCCCTCCTATGAGTGCTCCGCCCGTTGGGTACGCGGAAACCAAAACCAAAATTTGTGTTGTGTTGCACATGCCTCTTCAGGGAACACCTTACAGTCAATGCAAGCCCATCGTTCCCGATTTCTAACCAAGATGTAGTCGATTTGGGTACAATGTCCCCCGCTGTGAAACGTAATCAAGTTCGCATCTCTTTATTAAATAAGGAGTTAGTGATCACCAAATCGTGAGCAGTAGCAAAATCAAGCAACATACGCCCCTCATTCCTGCTCCATAACGAAACCCCCATGAACACCGTCTACCGTCGATGCACTACCTATATGGCCATTGAAGTCTCCCCTATGAAAACTCTTTGGTCCTCCGGAATGCCCTAAGTACAATATCAAACTGATCCCAGAAGCAACGTTTCTCCCCTCCCCTAGGCCAACGTGTGGAGCGTAACTGAAAGGACATTCACCACTTCCGCTTCTATAATAACCTTAATCATCATGATCATATCCCGGTATCTACAAACTTCAACTACATTTTCCTTGAGACTAGAGGATACCAAGATTCCCACCCCATTTCTAGCGTTATCTACTCCTGAATACCACAACTTGTACCCATTACACTCTCTGGCGCGAGCCCCTTTCCACCTAGTCTCCTGAATACATGCAAAATCTATTTCCTATTACTAAGTACGTCGGTCAGCTCCAGCGCCTAGCATTTAATGTGCCTACATTAACGAACAAACTCTAAGTCTAGTCTCCTTGACACCACTCGCCGGTGAGAAGTTGATTTTCGTAAAAATAAGCTTTTTGTTTTTGAAAAAAAAATAATAACAGCCAAATTAAAATTAACTAAAGATATAGAGATTCGAAAACTTTCTGAAAATTAGAAAGGAGAACAAGAGGAAAGAACGCACTGAGGAACGGAAATCAAATGGCTGAGAGAGTAGATCTGGGGATTTGCAGAGCTAAAAGCAAAGAAAGAGAGCAAAGAATTATTAAATTTATTTTGCGTGAACCGAAGAGGAGTTAAAGGAATTTTCAACAGTTTTAAAGCTGAGAATATTTGAGTTTAGAGAGGAGAAATCAAATCGAAAAACGCAGGAGATGGCCTGTCCAGTTAAATCAGACTCTTTCGCTTCTTTTCTTGCCTCCTAAAAAGATGAAATTTTTCTTTCTTCCCAGCGTTGATGCTGGCGTGTATGAGATGATCAAAGTCTCAAATAAGAAATAGAATATGTATAACGAAGAAAACCCAGATCTAGATCTTGCATCAAACAGTGAAAGAACAGTCAAGACGCGTGAACCGAAGAGGAGTTAAAGGAATTTTCAACAGTTTTAAAGCTGAGAATATTTGAGTTTAGAGAGGAGAAATCAAATCAATAAGAAATAGAATATGTATAACGAAGAAAACCCAGATCTAGATCTTGCATCAAACAGTGAAAGAACAGTCAAGACAAATCAAAGCACACACCTTTTATGTATACATATAAATCTAAACAAAAATCAAAGGAAAGCAGAACACATAAACAAGATATGGGAGATAATCGCAAAGCAGAAACCTTTCTGAAAATCCTCAGACCCGAAAATGCAACACCCAAAAACTGTTCCCTGGAAATTGCCCTGGAAAGTTGTGCATGAAATATAATGGTTCTGTTCCCTTTGAGGATAGAGTGGATACTACTTTAAGTTATTTTGATTTGCCTAGTAGGGAGATTCCTGCGTTTATGACTTTGTATTTTGAGGATCCTGATCATCAGGGTCATAAGGTTGGACCCGATGATCCCCAGATCACTGAGGCTGTTGCTAGAATTGATAGAATGATCGGGCGATTGATTTCTGGTTTAGAAAATAGAGGGATTTTTGAGGATGTTACTATAATTATGGTTGGAGACCATGGAATGGTCGGTACATGTGATAAAAAACTGATATTCCTTGAGGATTTGGCGCCGTGGATTGAAATTCCGGCCGAGTGGGTTCTGTCTTATAGTCCGGTGCTTTCTATTCGTCCACCTCCAAGTTATGTCCCATCAGATGTTGCTGCAAAGATGAACGAAGGACTGGAATCGGGGAAGGTTGAGAATGGGAAACATTTGAAGGTTTATCTAAAGGAGGACTTACCTAGTCGGCTACATTATGCTGCAAGTGACCGTATTCCTCCCATAATCGGGCTGATTGAGGAGAGCTTTAAGGTGGAGCAGAAAAGGACTAAGCCAAAAGAGTGTGGAGGATCACATGGATATGACAAGGCAATTTTCTCAATGAGGAGCATTTTTATTGGTCATGGTCCTCAATTTGCCAGGGGGAAGAAGGTGCCATCTTTTGAGAATGTTCAGATATATAATTTGGTAACTTCAATTCTCAATATACATGGTGCTCCCAATAACGGATCTTCAACATTTCCGGCTTCTATTCTTTTGCCTAGACAGTAATAATTATCTCCGATGCACGTTTCGAGTGATCTTAGCTGCTGAAATATACTGTAAAAGTTGGCAAGATGATAACTTCATTGCCAAAATGACTACCTGTTTATCCATGAGTCATACATAATGAGAGAGTGCAGGAGGAGGTTAGTGAAATAGGATTCTTTGAGATGAGTATCAGATGTTTGTACTTTTTATCTCCAATAGTTCCTTGGCTCCCGTTTTTCATGTATTTGGCTGGACCATGTCATCTGAAAACTCATTATTTTGTGCCATTATGATGTTATAAAAGTATATAGTAAAATTACATTGCAGAAGAGCAAAGTATTCTGAAATTTGTCTCTGTTTCTCCACCCTCCTTAGACCTAGGCCATTTCAATTAAATATATGTTCCAAGCGTATAGGCAAGGGTTGCATGATTTGAGCTCATTCTTATTGGAAATAATTAATATTAAATTGTAGGATCTTTGAACTTATGCAATTTAAGGGTACAAATTCTTTACATCGGCTTGTTTTCGAAGATTTGTCAATGAAAAAAGTCACAAAACTCGGAACCCATGTCTTTGTTTTTACACATCAATAAGACAGACATTAATAATACATACTTGGATTCAAAGCAAAGTTGAAAGTGAGAGGGATCGGAAATCATTATTGTCTACAACTGCCGATTCCCCTATACCTGGGAGAACCAAAACCCGGGTTATTTTGTCACGTTTTTCAGATTTACGTGGGGGAGAAACATAGAGATTTCGGCAATCATTTGTGGCCACACAAAATCTTCCTTAGAAAAGTAGTGTTCCACGCGTTCTTACAAGTTTCAATACCGGTGTCGTCACAGCTTGCAAATTAAATGTTCACAAAAGATGTCCATTTCAGGTTTCATTGACGCTAAAATTGTCCGCTTCTTTAATTTTAAATATGTCAAGTTTGAAGGTTCATGGGATATAGGAGAAAGAAACAACTTTTGGTTGATTAGGTTTGATAAGTTAATGTCTTTGCTGGCAATACTCTGGCAGTTTCTGTCTACTCTCCGTTTACCAGAGGAAAAATTCCATTCTACTATTCCCCTTTTACACTTCACAATCTTCTCAGCTGGAGAAAAAAACCAATTCTACAACTTACTAAAACTTCATATTGTTCGTTTAAAATTCACAACTTGCGACACAAGTTACATACAAACTACCAAAATTCAGAGCGTGTTTTCCTCTTTGCCTTTTCGTGTATGTGCGTGTCGCACAGTTTGACCTTTTACTTGTCGAACTCCGATTCTTATTGACTTTCACCTATATAAATCAATGATTAAATCCCACCGAAGTTTGATACCAACCAGAAAAACAAAACATACTTCATTATACTACCGGTATATAAAAATCTTTCTTCACGTCAAGTGTTTTACTTCTTTCTTAAGAATCTCTAAACTAGACTAGACTAGATGGCGGATGTTATAAGATTGTCAGCGGCAGCGTTTCGTTGTTCATCGTTGCTCTTTGCATCCACGTTGAATTCTGGACAACCGGGTCTTTCACCCAAATTTAATTTAGGTAGTGAAAGTAGTAATCTTTCTTCTTCTTTTGCCGGTGTTTCTCGCCTTCCTTTGACTTCCAGAAAGCAATTGCAATCTTTCAAGGTAATGGGATTTACGTTATTAATTCATTACTAGAACATAGTTTTTTTTTTCAGATGATGTTTTAGTTTTCCTGCATTGAACTTTACTGGCAGTCGAGGATGGACTGAGGGGGTAGACTCCTCTAAAAATTTACAACTATCATATATTTTAGATTTTTTTATGTATTTTCTATTGAAAATCTATTTTCGACTCCTGAAATTTTATAAGTTCACCCCTTTCAAAAATTTTAGAAGTCCGTCCCAGCTGGCGGTGGCATTTCTCAATACCATATATGTAAAAGAAACTATTGAGATTGACAAGTTCTTGTTCTGTAGGTGCACGCAACTATCACTGAAATAAGCCAACCGCAATGGTGGGAAATAAATGCAGGGCCTAATATGATCGACATTCACTCTACTGAAGAATTTTTGAGTGCCTTAAATGATGCTGGAGATAGATTAGTTATTGTTGAATTTTATGGAACTTGGTGTGCTTCTTGCAAAGCTTTATTCCCCAAGGTAATTTATGCCTTTCTTGCATACTAATTCATGTTTTCTAATATCTGCAATTAGCCTACTTCGAAGTAGCTATGATGATTCTGAGTGCTTGTGTTTTTCTGATGTTGCTTTGTGATGACACCGACAGCTCTGCAAGATAGTTCGAGATCACCCGGAAATTTTGTTCCTCAAAGTTGATTTTGATGAGAATAAGGCTATGTGTAAAAGTTTGAATATTAGGGTGCTTCCTTATTTCCACTTCTACCGTGGAGCGCATGGACAATTGGAGTCGTTTTCATGCTCACTTGCCAAGGTGTGTATTTTATCCAGGCTTCGAAACTGGCATGTATATATGATTTATTAGCATATATATAATTCTTTTCCGTATCAATTGCAGATTCAGAAAATGAGGGATGCCATTGAAATGCACAGCCAGCCGTGTAAAGTCGGTCCATCTAAGAGGGTTGGAGGCCTGAATCTTGAATCAGTATCCGCACCGTTTAAAAATATTGGAGAATCGAACTAAACACGTGATTTGTTATAAAGTATTGTCTCTATACATGTGCGTTGCCATATATATTGCACACCAGTAACCTCTCCTTTTGATTTTGCACAATGTTTATGCATATTGCTATTCTTTTTCCTGTAAAAGAATACAAACAAGCAATTCCTAGCTTGCTCCATTCTTTTTACATTCTTAATCTGCCGGTGATATATGCAATGTGACCTCACAATTCAATCAGAAATCAAATTCCTATGTCACTGTTGAATTAGTATTTGTTTTTGGTCCATGGAATATTCAAAAGTACTGATGAATTATTCATTGGGATGGTCAAGAAGCAAATAGAATTCCATCAACGAAGGCTGTCATTTGATTTAGAGTTACACCGTCGAGAAGTCGACTTCTTTAGGAGAAAACTTTGTTGCAGAAATAGTCGCAGATGCCACCGCCCACCGGTTGTTTTGATAATAAGAGAATGAGTTGCATATGCCGGAAAACAATTAGAATATTCGTTTTTTGGTATATGAGGGAGAATGGAGTTTGCTACCCAGCTTCCTATATAATATATTATATTTGCTTACCAAAAAAAAATGCCTGGATCTGATCTTTTACAAATTTGGAGATTACAAATCTTAATGCATAGATGTGAAAGCTTACCAGGCTGGCTGGCTGGCAGCAATGTCCCTGGCGAGGAGATGCTAAATAAATAAATAGAAGGAAATTCGGCTAGCTTTGAAGGCAAACAATAATGTTGTTTTTTGTTCTCTTCTAGTTGGCCTCGCGTTTCTTGTGTGAAATCTCAACCTTTTGTTAGGTGCGTAACGTGCGTTGGGTCTACAGTTTTGTACTTTTCATGCTTTTTCTCCCTTCATTGAAAGCCACAATATTCAGACCAAACCAAACAAAATAATCCACACTTTTGGTGGTTAAGAACTATCAACTTTGTTTGTGTGAGCTTACATCACTTTTGATCCCCAATCTCATCATTTCCATGTAATTCAACCATAATCTGCATCTGCAATCCCACTTTCCGGTGATAAAGTTGAATAAATTTCAGGGGATCTGCATATATAATCATAGATCGGTAAACATCCTCAAAAGAAGATGAAAATGGTGAATTTCAGGGGATGGATCCACCATCCACAGATGGAAAATAGACCCCTTTCCGCTTTCTATACAAATGATATCAGCCCAGTCCAAAAGGGAACAGAGGAATCTTTGCCCCATCAATTAAGCTTTTAAAGGAACCATCATCAATCATATCAGCTTGGCTGCTCCTCACCCTCTTGTTTTTCTTGTTACAGTTCAAGCAACTCAATCTAAATCCATGAACACGACAAAAGATGGAACAGAGACAATAATTCAAAGTTGCACAAGATATTAAAATGCATCACAAAGATTGAACTTTTATTGATTGATTTCCATTTTCATGGTTTGGATTTGGCTTTTTCAACCAAGATCTCTTCTTTTACATCAGTTGGTCGGTAATTCCAATCTTTTTAATTGATTCAACATGCTTATATAAACATAGACTATACTTGGAATTCAAATTTGTTAAACTAGGTTTTTGTACAATGGAACACATTAAACTCGCACTTTGGAGAAATGCACTCCAAAAGCAGCCTTGAAGTGTGTTCTTGTTTAATAACAGCGTCCTCTTTCTCCACCAGAACCGCCCCAACAATCCTCTCATAACCTGCTCCGCCACAGTTCGCCACGTAAGCCACGATCGCCGCCTGAGCAGGCGGCAAACTGGGGTTATAAGCAGCTGATTCCATGTAAGACCCTTTATATATCTTCCCTTCAACGTCCAGCAACGCCACCCCAGATGGACACCCGCTGTAAGGCGCGTGGGACATATTGGCCGCTTCAAGAGCCGCGTGTTTTAAGTCATCGCCATCGATGATTTTTCCGTTGCATAAATCGCTGCGAAACCACAAGCCGTTTCGATGAGACTCGAGGAGAAGAGGGACGTCTTTTTCTAGCAAATCGTCTGGGCCGAACCTGTGAGGTAAAAAATGGGACAAATGAGTAAATTCTTGGTCGTTAACATTACAATTGTTGTTTATTTTGTTTTCTTTTTCGTCTTCCGACGAAGTTATGAGGATCTTGACATCGGGGGCGCCACGGAGCTCTTGGAGGAATTGGCGGCAATGGCCGCAAGGGGCAGCGGAGACGGCGAGGTACTTAAGACGTGGTTCCGCATTGATGGAAAGGTTGGTGATGAGGAATTGCTCGGCGTGGACGGATTGGTTGAGGGGAAGACCAGGGAATTCCAGATTGACTCCCAAAAAGATCCGACCAGAGGACCCCATTCCGACTGCTCCGACGTGATATTTTGAGATTGGCGGGCGAGCCAAGGTCTGGGCGGATTTGACCAACGACGGGAGGAGTTGGAGCACGGTTTGGCCTGATTGTTTGGCCATCTGTTCGGCTTCGGCGGAGTCGATCACGAATCTGGGTCGATCCATTTTGAGAGATAAGTAGATGAGTTGACCCGTTTACGGAGAGGGCAAGCGGGTCTTAGGGTGAATTTTGGATGAGGATTGAGGACGACGAGCGTTGTTTAAAATGAGGAAGGAGAAGGGAAGAGGGAAGGAATTATTATTAGTGGAGGTTATTTATAGTTGAATTGGTTCATGGTTGTCATGAAAACAGTAATGAATTATTTACTACACTAATTTTTACTATATGCCTCCTTCAAAGTTAACCCTTTTAACATTATTGGAGTAAAAGATAATTATATTTTTATAAAAAATAATTCAATTAACAATCATAGAAAAAATCTTTGATATAAATTTGTTTGTTTATGATTTAGGATTTTAATATTTAAATTTAGGTTTATCTATTCAAACATATTAGGTTTATGATTTAAGATTAAAATAAATAGATTGCGTATTATATAATTCGTGTATCAAATAGTAACTTATGATATATATTATAATAATAATAGTTTATATAAATTTTCTATTAATAGTGTTCAAACTTTGTTAATAAATTTTTTTAGTCTAAAGAGTGTGTAAAAGTACGATAAAGTATACAAATGATCCCGATTATATTGTGTTGTTTATTAAGTTTTTTTGCCATTAAAATTTTTAAATGATCACCCGACTATATGATGTTACTTTGTTGAGTTCTCTAATTATTAAAAGTTACAAAATGATCAATGACTATTCATATTTTCCAAACTCGTCATATTTTTTATTAAAAATTGACTGTCGTCTGACATGGATGTTAATGTGTTAATTAGGATATGATAAAATATGATATCAAAATCGTTTTAGTTGTATTTTGTGGATCGAATCTTCGTTTGCATTATATCATCGAGCAAATACTTGAAGGCAACGAAGGTGCTATTATACATGATTAAAGTATAATTTTATCATATCTCAGTCAGTATGATAACATCCAGCTCAGACTAATGTCAATTTTTTAATAGAAAAAAATATGATTTTGGAACATATGAATAGTCATGTGATTATTTTCTAACTTTTAATAATCGAGGGACTCAACAAAACAATGTCTTATAGTCAAGAGACCATTTGATAATTTTTAATAGTCAGAAGACTCAATAAAACAAGACTTAATATAAAAAATAAGTGTACAAGCTATACCCCTTTTTTTCACTTATGTGTCTAAACTTTTTTAGTCAATTTAGGTGTCTAATGTTACAAACTTTACCATTTTAAGTGTCCCGAACGTAACTGTCATTAAACAACTTCGTTAAGTGACATGTGTCATATTTATATAATTTTAAAGTTTTATTTTATAATTTTAAAATTAAAAAAAATTAAAAAATAGTTTCCCCCGTCTCACTTCTCCCCCCTCCGCATCGCATGACACCAGATTGTTGAAGAAGATCAAACGGTCGACCGATTGCTACTGCCCAAATGATCGACCCGACTGCCACTGCCCAAACAACTTGTGAAAGGGGTTTAAGGAATTTTTAGGGATTTAAATATTTGGAATTTTAGGGATTTAAGTTTAGAAATTTAGGGGAATGGAGCGACGGTCCATTAATGGTGGTTCGTTGGTAGTTATTCATCGGGTGAAGACACGATCGGAGGTAGGTCCAATCGACGATAATGATGATGGCAAAGGGCAGCTAGTCGGCATAAGTATAGGAATTTAAATTAGAGTTTTTAAAGTTTTATGGTGATGATTTGAGAAAAATTAGTTTTTTTTTGTTTTTTTTAAATTAAGTTTTTTATTTTTAAAAAAATTTAAAATTATATAAATATGACACATGTCACTTAACGGAGTTTTTTAACGGCCGTTACGATCGGGACACTTAAAATGATAACATCTATAGTGTTAACAATCTTAATTGACCGATAAAAAATTTAGACACATAGAAAAAAAGTATAATTTAGACACTTATTTTTATATTAAGTCATAAAACAACACTTTATAGTTTGAAGGGAACATTGTGTCATTTACTATAAAAGCATTAAATATAAAATTATGCATGTAATATTATTAAATATTTTATTAAAAAATTTCTGGTTATCAATTAACAAAAATTAGAATCAAATTACATGGTAAATGGGTTTGAGACAAGGAAAAAAAAAAGGAATTTTAGTGTCCGTTAAAATCATTATAGTATTTTATATTTTGAAGTTGAAAAGGCCAAAGCAAAATCAAACAAAAAAAATTGACTTGGAAATTCTTATATTTGCCAATTAGCCATCAAAATCATTGAGAATGAAAGCGAAAGCGAAAGCGAAAGCGAAAGCGAAAGCGAAACCATCTAACGTAAAGCTGTTTGATTTTAGTTCGTTGATTTTGATTCAAAGTCCATTTCTATGAATCAAAGTTACAACCTTTACCTACAATTTCACTATTTACCAACCAGTTTACCATACAGGTCAGAAACTTTTACGTGCCTTAGAAGACACTTCCCCAGGTGAGAATATGCATATTCTCCTTAAAGATCACAGTAATATATATATATATATAGACATTAAAGTTATTAATACCACTCTGTTATTAATCTAAGGCATTCTCCTTATGATTAAGTCAAGGTTTTATCGAAATTAATATTTATATTTAATATATTATAAAATATTACTTATTTTCAAACCCAATTATGTAGAGAGATGATTGATTAAGTTGTTTAGCATATTGTAAATGTGCACAATGCCGATGTGCAATGTTTAGTGGCACTTGGAGGAAAAGTCGAGGAAGGAACAAATCCCGGTTGGTTATTTTAATAAAAAAAAATTTAAAGATGCTTTATATTTTGGTAAGACCGAGACACAAAAGGATTGTTTAGTGGAAACGAGTCAATTATATGAATCATACCCTATGTGCTGGTGATTTATAATTTAGCACTTGAGAGTATGATATACGTAAATATGAGTTTCCAACCCAGGAAAACGACCTACATCCTCTTTTATATGTTAAAATATAAAGAGTCAATGTACGACCTAATCATTAGGATTAGGGTAAACTAGAAGTTTCAAAAGTAATAATCATTAATTTATAATAAAATAATTACTCTATTGTCATGCCGTTAAACTAATGACAACGTTGACAAAAATATTAATATCTACTTTCAGGCTTAAACTATTGTTATAACATTAAATAGATCATTGAACAATAATTTTATATCTAATTTACCCTCGTAACTTTCTAATTTTTATTTTCTCCAAACAACTCACCACCTCCACTATATTCAAATCACATTCTTTATAAAAACCAAAACCACACTTAAACAAATCTTTGCCATAATTGTTAACACCTTTCCTTTCCTTCCTCAAATTTTGGTGGTTATTACAAATGCCACTGACCATATATTTACCAAGTTGTGACTGACAGATGCCAAACAGTCTCAATTTGCATCTCAGCGTATATAGTTTATGATTTCCGAATGCCCCAATTAGAAAAAGGAAAAGAGCAAAACCACATTAATAGGTTATGTACTAGTGAATCTATTAGATGAACCTTGGCTTTAGTCTTCGATATTAGCAACATTTCAAAGATTGGAAGATCTGTCATCGATCAATTTTCTATAGGGTGATAAGAATACACAACCCATACCTGCAATGCTAATATTTTCCAATCAGTTTCTACATCAAGATGGACACTACTTTATCTGATGCTGCTGCCAGCAAAATAGCAAATGTCCAACTCTTGGTTGGAATCTCTACTTGGGCCATACCTCCCTGCATTAAAAATCTGAGGAAAAAATCTATAAAATGTAATGCACCATAACTATATGAAACCTTGAAGAGGCTAGACAGGAGAAGAAGAATCGCCAACCTTGGATATCCGGGTGCATGAGAACGTATTGAGATTCATATAGCCTATTTCATTGTCATTATCACAAAAGCAAAACAAGTTCGTCTTCTTGGGGTGGAAATCAAGGGACATCACAGGTGAAGTATGGCCATTGTGTATGCTTTCAAACAATAGCATGGCTGTGACAATGAACTTACCTTGTTAACCAGTAGCACAGAAATATTTATCACGCACACATGCTTCATTAATGTCTGCAATGCCAGAAAATTGACGGCAAATAGAGAGAGAATAGAATAACAAAAGATGTAATCTCAAATATCCACAAAACTTAAACAAATATCGAAGTTGTAAGAAGATGATGATGATTACGTTGGCTGCATCCCATAATCGCACAATTTTACCAAACGAAGCTGTTGCTAGTTGAGTTGAATTTGGTCTAGAGCTCTATGGCGAGGGTTTGTTTAAGTGTGGTTTTCCTTTTGTAAGGAATGTTGTTTGACTATAATGAGGCGGTAGGGTGTTTGGAAAAAATAGAAAATTTATGGGGTAAATTAGTTATAAAATCGTTGTTCAACAACTTATTTGATGTTTTAACAGTAACTTAGGGGTATAATTAAATATTAATTTTTTTGTTAATTTTGTCACGTCGTCAATTTAACGGGATGACGGTGGAGTGATTATTTTGTTACGAATAAATAATATTAGTGATTAAATTGTTACTTTTGAAACTTCATTAGAAATTTTTTTTACTCAGATGTTAATGATGATTGATATAGTTTATCCTTTAAAATTATATCTCGTTCCGCACTATAATATGAAAGAAAATCACAAGTTTAATGTTGTCCAACAACTTGCTCAAGCAATTACGAAATTTTGATGTCACATTACTTAATCAATCAACAATTGACATTTTAAACCTCAGTGATAGCTTCTTCTCCCCCAGAAGCTTTTAATTTTGCAGAAAAGAATCAGGTTCCCGGCCCTGTTTGTTAATTTTGGATGAGATATCAGCTGATATAACAGGAATATGCTGCTGCGTAGCGTATATCGTCAACAAGCCTCAAAGTTTGCAAATTGAAACTATACTTTATGCTGCATTCATGGAAATCCATGTGCATTCATATGAAGGCATCTAAATTAAAATGCCCAACTTGACGCTAAACTCTAATTTAAGCTCTTCTCTTACCAAACAAATAATATCAGTCTTATCTCCATGCTGTCGATATATTTGTAATCTATTCTTGCCACGCATGAAAAGTGGAGGGTAATTCATAATTAATTATATAAATTAAAAGTAAAAAATATGTATTAGGATTGAAGCAGGGGCCAAACTCGTCCCACTTATAAGGCAGCTCCGTTAGTGTATATGACCATAACCTACCACAGATTGGTTAAAAAAATAAACAAATGTAACCAAAT